ACAAGAGGGACATTTAATGTTTCCTGGATTCTCTGAAGGGGTCTCCCAGGGTGAAGGGACCCCTCAGTAYTTCCAGGTTCCCACCCCTGTCTTCCTCTTGGATCCCCTGGAACCTTCTCCGACAACCTACTATGTGTCAGCCACTGGGCAAGGTGTTCGGGACACCCTGCAGAGAAGAAATGACCAAGAGTCTCTTCCAGAACAGAGTCGAGACAAGGAGACCCCCAAAATGAGCCGAGCCAGAAGGGCTCAGGAGGTAACGAGGGCCAGGGAGGAGGGGATGGCTGAGGGAAAGACCACGGATGGGGGTAATCAGGGAGGGCTTCTCTGAGGAGGTGCCGCCCAGCTGGGCCCGCTGGGCCCAGAGCAGAAGGAAGGGAACAGCTGGTCCAACAGCTCCAAACAGCCCAGAGAAGGCTGCAGTGGCTGGAGGGGTGCGGGTGGGCTGTGGGTGGGCCACATGGCAGGGGTCCGTCCCCCGGCTGCCTGGGCCTCCTCAGTCCCTCGCCACTGCCTTTCCTCCCCTGGTCTCTTGTCCCCAAGGCCCGGAGGCCCGCCCCCGCCCCCAGAGGGGCTGCAGGCGCTGGGGGGCAGGGCTGGAGGATGACAAGGTTACACGTGCCCCTTTTCTCTGGGAGCAGCATAAAGAGCTCTTTCTTTCCTGCTTATTAATAGCTCTGATTAAATTATCTCTGAGCAACCTGCGTGGTGTGCACCAATGGGGGCCCAGCTCCCTCCAGGCTCTGGCCTAGATTACCACAACCAGGGCAGGTGAGGTGACGGGGGCGGGGGAGCAAGCCCCGCTTTCTTGGCTCTCCCCTGAGACCCTGCTCAGCCCCGGACACCCCCGCACCCCCGCTCTTGGGAACCTCTCTGGGTCCCTYCGTGGGAGTGCCAGGCCTTTGAAGGGGCGGGTCCCCTGCCAGGGACACACCTCTTTCCCCACATCACCTGCCTTCTGCTGGGTTAGGTCCCCGAATGACCCCGGGTTCGTCTCCTGGTCTACGTCCCCATGAAACTGAAGTTCCGTAAGACCTCTTTTTGGACCGGGTCACTGTAGAATCCCCCGTGTCTGACACCAAGTGGTTTCTTAGGAAATAAATGGACCAAGGAATCAGCAGACGTGGTTGGGCAGGGCCAGGCCTCAGGGAGGGCGTGACCACTGGTCCCGAGGTGGGAGGGCGGGAAGCCAGAGCCGTGCCTAGGTGGCAGTCAAGCCTGCTTCACCGATGGGGGGAACTGGGCACAGAGAGGGGGAGTCACAGCGCTGGTGACCCAGGCCATCGGATTCCACTCCCTCCTCTTCTTCATGTTCCTCCTCTGGAAGAAAAGAAGGTGGTGGTCAGGGAAGGCTTCCCAGAGGAAGCGGAGCCCTGGCCGCCATCTGAGGGAGGCGCATCCTGGACGGTGGGAACCCCTGTGCAAAGTGCCAGAGTCACACGGAAGCCTGGTAGGTGTTTCGGCAAGGTTGGTGTTGGGGACACCAGGCGACGGTGAGGAATGAAGTGTCCTCCGTCCCCCTATCCTTCTGGGGCCTCTTGACCCCTGTTGGAGTCAGTGATCGGGCTGCTTCATGGACTGTGGCAAATGCACCTTAACACAGTCTCGATCACGGAATGCAGAAGTACTTTTTTTTTTTTTTGGCACTTGACCCCTGAGCCCCATCCCCATCCCTATTTGGCATTTTATTTAAAGACAGGGTCTCGCTGAGCTGCTTAGGGCCTCACTGTTGCTGAGGCTATTTGAACTTGGGATCCTCCTGCCTCAGCCTCCCGAGCCCCTGGGATGACAGGTGTGCGTCACCACGCCCAGCCATGCAGAATTACTGGACACAATCAAGAGCAAAGGCATGGGGCCCTCACCTCAGGGAGGCAGGTGTCCTGGGGGGCTGTGAATGTGTGCTTGGGGGGCATAAATGTCGGCCCTTCTGGTGCATCCACTTGCCTGGGGGCTGGGGGAGGCAACTGGAAGACACCTTCCAGTAGCTACCTTCCCTCTAAAATCCCACCATTAGCACAAAATGGACTCCCCAATCTTCAGAGAAGGGGGTCCTTCCAGATGTTGCGAACCCCTGGTTGTCAGCCCTGTCTACACTTTGAAATCTTGGGGAGACCTTTGGAAACGACTGACCCACCCCCCAGAAAGGCTGATAAGCAAACTGAAGTTCAGAAAAGAGGAGAATCTTGTCCTCTTAGTGGCTGTCACGGGATGCAATCAATCAAGGTCCTGGGAACTGGTGTTTGGGATCCAGTTCTGTCATTGTGTGACCTTGGGCAAATCAGGTGGCCTTCTTCTACTATGTGACTAGTAATCCTATGTCCCTTACAAGTTTGCTGTGAGAGTCAAAGGAGATGGGGGTGTGTAAYGTAAACAGCACGGAACACACACCCAGCACCTAGTAGGGGTCTGTCAAGTCACTGTGACCTACAACAGGAAAAAAAAAAAAAAATCCCAAACTTTGGAAAGATGAGGGTGAGGCCCTTCCGGCTCTTTTTCTTTCCAGGTTTTGGTTGACAGTGTCCCTCCTCCTCCTGTCCCCAGCTTGAATCGGGTCCCCCTACCTGTCCACACCCTGGGTCCACCCAGCGAGTCGCCAGGCAACCGGCCCTGACGTCAAGGCAGCTCTGGCAGGTGGCCGGGACCTGCAGCAGCTGGAGGTMGGGTCACATTTCCAGGTAAATCCCCGCCCCCAACCCCTCCCCGCACTCAGGGTGGGGGGGGGCGGGGCGCGGAGAAATAGAGCGGGGCACCGGGGCCAGGAGCTGGAACCCGCATGCGTGGCGGCTCCTGGCCTAGATAAGGTGGTGGGTGGCCTACTTGGGACGGCCTCCGAGGTCCCTGGCGGGTTCTAGGCAGGTGCGGGATGAGTCCTGAAAGTAGGCTAGGGCMCCATTGTAATCAGCACGTCCTGCTGGATACACTCCCCAGCCCTCCAAAATGGAAGATCCCTGGTGGCATTTATTAAGCGCTTCTAGTGTCCTTTGCATGCAATGATTCATTTCGACCTCACGACAAGTTTATAAGGTGGGAATTAAGATATCCTATCCCCCCACCCCCATTTTGCAGACAAGAAACGGAGTCAGTTTTATACAGGCCAGGCGTAGCTGTCAGGCAGACCAGGTCAGGACTTCCGCAGCCGCTTAGAAAGTGAAAACCACTGCAGAGTTTGACAGACCCAAATCTGGACCTCAGGTTGACGTGACTCTGTGCCTTGGTTTCCTAGTCTGTCAAGTGAAAGAGAATACCAGGGCCCTGCCAAGGTGATGGCACATATCCATAGCCCAGGCACCCGAGGGGCTGAGGCAGAATGGATGGCTTGAGCCCCGTATGCAGCTTGAGAGCAGCCAACACTGCCCAAATTGTGCCTTGATAAAAAAACATTGAAGGACACTTCAAATCTTATGACCTTAGTTTCTTCTGTAAGTTGGGAGTATGATCACAATGCCTACCATATCAGTTTTCTCATCTGTAAAATGGGCGTGGTGGTACCTATCTCAGACGATTGTGAGGAATAAGTTTGTACCGTGCTATGTAAGTGTGGTAGCTGCTACTGTTACTGACTGGTATTAGTGTCAGTGCTGGGGATTGAACGCAGGACCTTGACCACCTATGCGGTACCATTGAGCTACCCTCCTGATACTTTTTGTGATTATTTTTAACACATTCCTCATAGGGTTGTTCCCAAGGTTAAATTAAACAATGCAGATAATGTACTTAGCATAGAGTCTTGCCTCAAATATGAACTCTATAAATGGYAATTAGTTTTTCCATGCCGGGTTCCTTGACAAAGGGACTACAAGTACCAGCATGCCCTGAGCCCCTAGCCGGGTCCCCTCCACCCGGTGTTAGCGCGCTGCACGCCGGGAGTTGCAGTCCTCGAGAGGTAGGTCCCGCCTTGTCCCAGCTTGGGGGAGGAGGTTGGAGAGCCGCCCTGCCGGCCTTTGAATTTTGCCGCGAAAAGCGCGCGTGGCGCCCCTCGGCCCCGCCCCCTGGAGGACGCTGCGCCGCGTCACCGTGGTAACCGCCTCTTGGYCCCCGCTGATTGGGCTGGGATGCGGGGGGCGGGTCGGGGGCGAGACGCTGCGGCGGCCGCCGGCGCTCGCGCCTGTCAGTCGGGCCAGAGCGGAGCAGCGGGCAGCAGTGCCGGGCCGGCACCTCCGCCGAGAGGCTGCGCGCGCCGGCCGGGGGAGGCGGAGAGCCGGGCCCGCCGCCTGCGGGGCGCGGCGCGCGGYACCCGGCCCTGGAAGCAAGGCGAGACGCCCGCGCGCACCAGGCGGCGCGAGGCTGCGGCCCCGGGAGCCCCCGCGCGGCGCCCCGGGCCATGGGCGCGTGAGAATCCGGAGCGCGCCGCCCCTGCTGCAGTTCGCGAGCTCGCACGCTCGGTGCAGAGTCCCCCGGGCCGTCTCCGCTTCCGCCCTGCSCCACCTGGACTTGCTATTCCTTGGCGCCGAGGCCCCTGAGGCTGCATCCGAGCCTCCGACACCCGCTGCCGCCCGCCACCGCTGCTCGCCGGCTTCCCCTCCCCCCACACCCGGGGCCGGGAGCCGGAGGAGGAGGGGCCCGTGCATTCTCGCCGCTGCTCTTTGCAACCTGCGGGGGCCGGTGCATGCCTGGCGAGGAACCGGGGCCGCTGCAGGTGCGTGCAATCCCGGGAGGAGACGACCCCACCCCCACCCCCGGCGAACCCGGGGGCTGCGATCGGCGGGCGGGCGGGCGAGCGAGAGGAAGCAACAAAGACAGGCTGCAGCTGGGGCTGGCGAGAGGGGCAGCAGGCCGCCCGGCTCCCTGCGCGGACGGAGAGGGCGCCCTGGGAGCGGCGTGGGGCGAGCTGCAGAGGTGAGCGGGGCCCCGAGGGGAGGCGCAGCGCCTCCCGCCGGACGCGGCGAGCACAGACTCCGGCGAGGATGCGCAGCCTGAGCGCCCTCGCGGCCCGGGTCCCGGGCGAAAGCGACCCTCGCTGAGCAGAGAACCTCCCAGCCCGGACTTCGGACGGCGCGCTCCGGAGTCTGGATATCTCTCACCGACAGCATCTTTTTCCACCCGGAGAGAAGCATCGGCTCCCGAGCGGAGCTTCCTCGGGCAGCCTCTGCCACCTCTGCATGGCTGCAACCTGTCGAGTGGAGCGTAGAGGCCGCTGAGACCGGGTGCCCTACGACCCCCTGGCTGATCCGGTGAGTTGCGAGGGGCGGGATTCCGGGCTAGAGCTGGGGGCATCTCTTGGTATCAGGGCAGCCCGACTAGACCTAAAGGGGACCTATATTGTTGGGGGTGCTGCGCCCCTAGCGTGTCCCTTTCCCTTCCACCCACAACTTGTTTGGACTGGTCAGCTGACTTGAGTGGAGGCTGGGGTCCCCTGGTGTCCCCCGGTGTCCCCCAGGACTAAGGTAGTGCAGATGCCAGAGAGGAAAGGTCACTCCACCCATAAAGCTAACAAAGGTAGTGGCTCCAATGTCTGAAAATTCCCGGGGAACTCCCGAGTCTTGGAGGAAATGAGGGGGCACCCAGGTTGGGACAGCATTGAGGGTCTCCACAGCATCGTCTGAGATCTTAAAAGGGAGGGTCAGAAGGGAGGTATGAGGTCCTGGCTACATAGAAGATTTTGCCCTCTGTGGACGGACAGTAGGGTTCCCCCCATTCTGGCAAGTGTTCCAATAAATAACTTGCAGAGACACCTGGTGTTCAGTGGCCCTGGGAGGAGACGTCACTGCCCAGCCTCTGATGTCACTGGAGTGGTCATGGCAATGAGACTTGCCTTGACCCAAGGCTGGAGGAAGCAGGGCCAGATGCCTTTGGGTAGTGGAGAGGTAAAGGCTGGCTCCCCCACCCTTGCAGTCTTCTGACCTAAATCCCCAGCCACCACATGAGGTGGGGGAGGGGGACCGTGCCAGCTGTCCCTGCTGATGCTCCTCCCTCCAAGGACAGGTATTTAGAACTTTGCCCATATAGACTGGCAGTGCCTGGGGGTTTGGGACTCCCAGATAGAGTAACTTCTGCTTTCAAACAAGATGCTGAAGAGGAGACCTCCCTGAACCCCACCATATACCTAGCCAGCAGGCTAAAGCTCCCAGAGTCCCTAGAGAGATGYGGGCCCTCAGCCTTCCAACAGGCCACTTCCGCTCAGGAAAATGTGAATGCCTGCTCCCAGCCAGGGAAGGTGCAGAGGAAGCGCTGCCTGCCATGCTCCAAGTCCAGGGGATCCCCTGCTGTCCAACCCCAAGGGAAAGGGCTTGGCCCAGCCCGTCCCAGGCTCCCTTTGGTGTTTAAGATGATTTTGACAAGCCTAGTGTGATGGATGCTCATTACGTGAACGGAGGACAAGTCAGTGGTAAGGTCTGAATCTGTCTCGGCCAGGGCCGGTTTTGATGAGCAGAGGGCACCCACCCTGTTTTCCCCTCCACACCCTGTCACTGGCCCTTAGTTTGCAAAGACCCGGAGAACCCCCAGCCAGCTTCCTGCTGGGGGCTCTGAGATTCTCCCATGTCCCTTCCAGCAGTTACTGCCAGCGTCGGCTRTGGGTGCAACTGCTGCGACCACATTTCTAGGAAAAGCTTTGAAAACCGTGTCATGGCTTCAGCCGTGTGGGGCGGGGTGAGAGCCGAGAAGTGTATGTGGGGGGCCATTCTTAGAAGCGAGGCCCCTGTCTCCGTGCAGTGAGCATTTCCCCTGCTCTCCTACCAGACTCTAGCCAGATTAACAGGTCTAATAAATACTGGCGGAACTGCTTTTGGGGTCTTGGCAGGGAGATGGTATTTCCAGCTGAAATGGTGTCGTTAAACACACAAGCTTCAGAGGACACAGGAGCAATAATAGCAGATTGGGGGAGATGTGGGCAGAAGGGCTGTTTGCACTGCCTCTCGACGCTTCCCAGTTTAGAAACAAACTCAGAGTGTGCGCCAGAGATCCACAAACAGGCAGTTGGAGGCCCTCCTCGAGTATTTACACTTCCTCAGCCAAGGCGGAGGGAAGGGCTGTCAGAATTGGGCAATTCCTTCTGTTCTCTTCCCTTGGCTCCCTGGGCTTGGCAGTCGGTGCCAGACGAGGAACRGGGTGGGGAGTACCGGCTTCTCCGGCGTCTCCCTGTGCGCCAGGCATTTTACTCCAGGATCTCCTTGAAGTGGCTTATGAGCTGTGGCCCATTTGATAGATGAGGAAACTAAGGCTCAAATCAAGAAAGGGATGGTCTACAGCCAGGTAGCTGCAGAGGTTTGGCCCTGAATTGCCCTGGCTCCAGATCTCCAGGACCTCCCCGCCCTCTTGCATGGGTCCAGGGGAGCTTCCCCTGCTTGCCGGAAAGGGGTCCATGCAAGAATTAGGAGCTCTTGGTAATGGAGGGAGGCTGGCTCCACCAGGATGCCTTGTCCACACCAAAACCCAGGTTTCAATCCTGGTTCCCCCTGACCTGCAGGCCCGGGTTGGGCAGAATGGCAGCTTCTGCCCTGGGCCTTGTAGGCGGCCTGCCCCCCTAACCACTGGAGCCCTCTCCAGGCCTGGGTGGTGAGGCCACCCTCAGCCATCCCAGGGACCCTGTTGGTGGAGCCGGTGGGGAGGCAGGGATGCAGACAGAAGCAGGGATGCAGACAGCAGGGACACCAGACCTAGCACAAGAGTGGGAGGGGCCCCATGGAGCGGGTGCCATATGAGTCTCCAAAAGGACCCCTAGGGCTGCTCCAGTCAGTGGGAGGGGCAGGGAGCAGMGGAGCCTGCTGAGCTCAGTAGGGACAGGGTGGCCAGGAGGGGTGTCCTGGAGCTCTGGTCACAGGGGAGGTTTAAGCAGGGAAGACTCCCTCCACAGGGACCGTCACCCTGGACATCCTTTTGGGCCAGAAAGGGAGGTCTCCTCAGTCCTCTGGGCAATCTCCTCTCAAGGTTGGCTTCCCATCCCTGTCCCCAGTAATCCTTCTCACTTGGCTAATTCCGCATAAGTGCCTCCACGTTCCTCTGAGCCTCCAGGTTGCTGTGGACCAGGACCTGAACTGGGCCAGRCCCGTTTGCTTACACCCCTGGTAGAGAAACCTGAGGCTCCCTGGTGAGCAGTGGCTCCCAGGAACCCTGCCCCGCGCACTCGCACTCGCTGACTGTGTGACCTTGGGTGAGTAGCATTGCCTCTGAGTTTGTTTCCTCTTCGGTGAGCAGCAGCTGCTAACAGCACCCCTTGCCGAGGGTTATGATGAGGATTCAACTGAGGGCTTAGTACAGGCTACAGCATGCAGTAAGCGCTCCATAAATGCACAGCCTCATGGCTCCTCTTAGCTTTATCCTCAGAACAGGGCCTTGCATGACTCTCCCAGTGAAAGGTAGTAGGCTTCAGCCCAAGGCAAGCATCTACCTTCCCTTCTGGCCTGCTCTGCACCAGGGCACCTCAAGTCCCCSGGGGGGGGGGGGGGGGGGGCACGTGGTGCGCACACGTGGCTCCCATCTGAGTTCTGGCGGGGCTGGGGCCCAGCCGGGGCCTCCCCAGGCTCCCCTGCCTCCCTTCCCTCGCAGCCAGGAGGCGAGCTAGCAGCTCATATTCATGAACCGTAATTCAATCAGGCGGCGACTCCTCTGGGCCCGGGCGGGGGTGAGAACGAGGAGGCGCGCACAAAAGGGCCGCTTTATTACCTCCCGCGGGCCCGGGAATTGCGGCTCTCCCCCGGCAGCGGCCGGAGCCGCCTTTATTGTGTTAACCCATTTGCGTGTCAAGAGCTATTGTGCGCTCTCCCCGCCTGTGCGGGCGCCGGGGAGGAGGGCTGCGCGGGCGCTGCCGGCCGGTCACCTCCGCGGGCGCCGCCCGCCGCCCTGATTGGTTGCTAAGTGATTTGCATCCAAGGTAATCACTTTTATCTCAGAAGGATGTCGACTATAATTATAAGCTACTGACATCTTTTGAAATCTGCCTAATGACTATTTTAGTCTGCCCGGGCTGGGGGTGGGGAGGCGGGTTCCGAGGGGGAGGGGGATGCTGAGAAGGGGGGGATGGATTCCTTCCACCTGGACCATTGATTCCCCAGTTGCCAGAGACATCTGAGGGCCTCGAACAAAAGGCCAGGAGGCTGAAAGGGGGCTGGCATTCCTGTGGGCGGAGTTAGTGCCATTTTAGAGATGGGGAAGTGGAGGCCTTGGGACGGAGCCACCTGCCAAGAAGACACAGCCCTGACCCATAGGTACCTACCTCCGTGGGCTGCTCTCTTAGTTGGGGAACACACGGGAATAATGGTGGTGGTGCCTGGTAGAGGGCAGTGGTCGGGTACCTTCCAGGGTGTTGGTATCCCCGTTTTACTAGGGAGGAAATGGGCACAGGGTAGGCATGTCACTGCCCAAGGTCACACAGCCAGGGAGTAGCAGAATGAGGTCAGGGTGGAAGGGGTGGCATGGGCAGCCCTGGGGTCCAGCTCCCCAGCCTCTCTCCTGCTTCCTGTTGCCCAGCYTGGCCAGGGTACCCAGGTGCTGGCCATGGTCAGGTGGCAAAGCTCTGAAGGTCCACAGCCTCCCTGCAGCCAGCGGGGTCCCTGGGCAGAACTGGCGTGGGGCTGGGAGGAGGGCAGACTGCAGCTGGCCGTCGAGGGCTCCTCACTGAGGGGCTGAGGTTCTGAGGACTGAGTGGATTTGCCCCCATGGGAGGGATGAGGAAAGGCGGGGGGGGGGGGCTTATCAAAGGGCAGAGGTCAAAAAAGGTGATAAGCCAGGAGGTACTGGGGGCCTTGAGGGCCAAGCTCAGGAGTGGATGTGGTCCAGAGGAGGAGGAGGACACCTCTCAGAGGCCAGGCCGATAAGGTGTGCTGGGGGAAGGGCTGCCCTATGCCTGGGTGCTGGGTGCTGTAGAGTCAGCAGGGGGCTTGGAACGCTCTCAGACCTGGGCTCCCACGCTGTTGCTGCCTGTGTGTCCTCAGACAAGTTACCTCACCTCTCTGGTCCCTGGTTTCCCCGCTTGTTGAAGAGGGTGATTGCAGTTGCCTTATGGCTTTCTAGATGGGAAGACCTTGTGTGTCTAGTTCCTTTGAGCTCTGGGGACAGAGAGGGACAGAGAGGAGGGAGGGGCACAGCAAGCTGGGTGACATGGGCTCAGACACAGGCCCTGGCCATCCCCCTGGCCCCACAGCAAGTCACTGTTCCAGCTGCAGCAGCTGTTTGGGGCCCTGGGAGCCCCTGCTATTGTGCAGAGAGCACAGGGGACAAAGGCCTGGGAGGTCAG